TGAAGAACGCAATCATTTTGTAATCATAATAATTGTTTTCGCTCATTGGGGGCGTGTACACAGCTGTGCTCTATGTGTGTGTGTGTGTGTGTGGCACACAAAAGGAGGACAGCGCGCTCTGATTGGAGCCAAGACACAGGCAGTTACCAAGGTATAACATGTTTTACCTGCGCAAAAATCAACTACATAAATAAAACCCATAGAAAAAATGCAGCAGGAGCAACAGCAACTACAGAAACAACAACAACAACAATTGCATAAATAAAAGCATCAGACGCCATGTTGGCCAATTGTTGTACTGTGTGGATTGCAGCTCTGACGCTGACTCTGGCTCTTGCTTTTGCTTTTGCTCTTGCTGTTGTTGTTTTGGCGCATCCCACAACGGAATGTGGTCTTATATATATATAGATATACGTACGTGTGTGAACCCATGGACATGTGTGTGTGCACGGCTAAAAATTATTGGACGTTCAACTTTCGTGTAGAGTGGAGACATGCGCGCAAAACTTTTTACTCACTCTCTTACCATGCATGCGCTCACACATACCACACATACACGTAGGCCCTCTCCCTCTCTCTCACGCCATGTACATACATATGTACATTTGTTAGCTTAATGGGGGCTCGCAGGTCAAAACAAAATGGCGCTCGCAACGGCATTTTAATTACTGGCTTCAATATATGTACATATTTCAATGGATCTTCAGCAGCGTACGCGTTTTTCAATTGGGTGTGTATATATTAGTGTTTTATTGTTGTTTATTGTTTTGGTTACTTGCATAACAGTTTTGTTATGCACATGATTCACGTACCGAATGAGAGTATATTGGTTTCCAATGCCTTTTTAGTTTTTTTGTTAATTTACTCACTTGAGGAAGCTATGAATTTGTAATTTTGAGTACAGTACAGTTCCATTTATATGTACATTATATAGATATATTTTTTAAGATCCTCATTTACAAATATCATAGACCTACCCACCGCTAGACCGGAAACCCTGAGCCTAAGCCTAAGTTCCTTACTTCCGCATCGCTTCCTAAAAACCTTCATTGATAAAAACAGTGGCAATGTCAATAAAAGAGTTGTTTAAAAAGCGGCTACCGTCGAGAGCCGCAAATCAAACATGAATAAATCAATATACCCACATGAGCTGAGGCCATAGAGCATTCGAGAACCAGTTATCGGGCAGCGGGTATTTACGGGGGCGAGAGTACTTTACTAATCAGCCAGATTTATAGACGGCATTTAGTTTTGTTCGTTTTGTTAGCGCAGAGACGCGCACCTTTGATATTTGCCCAGAGGGGCAAATAAATCCCAGAGCATCACTTGGCCTTTTACTTAACCCTTTGGCTCTCAGACCATTCGCGACGAGGCTGGTCAAAGTTGCCGCGCCCACGGTCCGCCCGCACGGATCGCGATGTCCTTCCGGGTAGCGGCGATGCCCGCTTTATTTTGATAAACTCAATGGCAGTTTAACCGCAGGATTAGCTTGTTTGCTCAGCGGATCAACGCGATGCATGCAAACAGAGGCGGCTACCTAAGCGGGCGGATCGACTGGCCAGGTAATGGACAGTCAGGCGAGCATTCCAGCAGGCAACCGAACGAATCGGCCGGGGTTAACGGGTTAAGCAGCTCTCACAGGACGTCGGCTTCCGTTGTTTACATTGTCTGTTTACATGCAGCCGAGCGCTGCCTGAACAGTAGCCAAAAATTTGAGTTGCAAATTGGTCTTAGCCACGCCCCGGACTCGCTGCGCTTGTGGCCGTGCCGCGCCGTGCCGAAAGAGTTAAGCAAAGGATTTAGCATGTCCTTGTGGGCTTGGATTTGGCTGGACTTAGCTTAGCGCGTATTAATCTGATATTCGTGGACTTCCACGCCGACGCTGGACATTGGACTATTTTTCAGCCTAATCGCCGTCGCTTAGCCATGCAAATATTTTCCAACATCAGTGCGCGGGATTTGTCTCGATTAAAGCCAGCAAAGGGTTAACAAGCAGTTAAGGGCCAAGGGCCAAGGGCCAAGGGCTGAGGGTTAAGGCTAAAACCCTTATGTTTTGGCCCCGACTGACATCTGATTTCGTTTAAGGCGCATCAGAGCATCGCAGTTGAGCTCTTTCACTTACTCTGCAGCAGTATACCCTGGCTTTTTGCTAAGCGCCTGCTTGTGGGGGCGGTGGGTGGCTTTGGGCCTCTGCCCCGCTTTGCTGGCAAATTGGCCAAATTTTGTGAAAATCATGCACAGCACAGCTTTTCCGCTCAACGGGTTCCTTTCACAGGACAACGGACAGTTTTGGACATTGGCATATCTCGCTCTCGCTCTCGCTCTCGCTCGCTCTTACGTTGCCTCTCGCTTTCTCTGTTATTGTTGTTATTATCGTGTGCTTCGTTGTGCAAATAAACAGCCAAACGAGTGTGCTACAAGTGTGAAGGCCCAAGGGTGCAACGGGGGACGGGGCAAGGGGGCGGATGCTAAAGGGGGTGCCAGAAACAGCGTATGGTTAACGACGGGTGGTTAACACCAACAACAGCAGCAGCAGCAGCAGCGAGATTTGAGCTTAGAGTAAGCAAAGAAAATTAATGTATAGCTGATCGACTATTGATTACTCTAGGAAAACAAAATAGGAAAGCTATTCATGTGCTTGACTATTGAATACTCTAAGAATTTTAATTAAAAATTATATATGTATTATTTTATTATTATTATTTTTACATAAGTTAAGCGCTTTCACGCTAGAGTACTAGGAATTAGGTGTGCTGAGTTGGGTTCTTGCGAATATATATAATTTTGTGAAGTAATATATTTGATATAATTTACTAACAATTGATAAAAAAAAAATATCCCTCGTCCAAGCCATATAAGTTGCACTGGTTGGGCTCTTCCCTTGATTGTCTGACTGGACTCTCCAGCCTCCTTAGATAATCAATAGTCTTAGGTTATATATACACACATACATACATTAAGTTTTATATTCATTTCCTTCAACTTGTTTTAAGTCTATCAAAACTTCTTGTTGTCCCTAGTCTAAAAGATTTCTTGACAAGACTTCCTTGATATTTGATATACCCATTCTCTATACCATTCGTAGTCACATAGCACATACACTAAAAAATACACTATATAGGCAAGCACAATACAAAATCTGCTGTGTTTTCTAAACGCAAACTCAGCCTCTGCCTCTGCCTCCGCCCGCTACTCCTGCAGCTGTGTGAGCGCAGCCCTTCGTTCTTGCTTTTTTTATAGACTAACACTTGATAATTGTTGACAATGTGTTATAAACTGATTTACACGCATTTAACGAAAAGAAACACTGCCAAAACTCACGCAGCGCCAGCACCAACAGACGACAGCAACAACAACAACCGACAGCAACAACAACAACAACATGACGAACATCGTTAGCGTCGACGGGCAACCGCTTAGATGTCATCGTTAGCTGATGTTGCTGCTGGCGCAGGGAAATTGAAATGGGCAAACGTCGGAGGGGTATGGGAGGGTGGGCTGGGCAACTGGTCGCGTGTGCCACGCGAGGGTGGCAACTTAAAGGGGCAAACACGATTTGTGTGCTGCTGTTGTTGTTGTTGTTGTTGTTGTTGTTGTTTGTGTGCGTTAATGAACTGCGTAACAATTAACAGCAACAACGAGCACAAATAAAGCGCAACAGCAGCAACAAGCAGAACGCAGAAGGGTGCTGCGACTGCGGTGGCTGCAGCTCAGCTTAAAAGTCAGTGGCCACGCACACGATTCCCATTACGTTGCCCACTTTCCACTGCCCAGACCGAATGCCCATTCCCAGTCCCTTTCCCAGTGCCATTGCCCATACCGAATCCACAACTTAAACTGAGAAGCGACTGCTGCTGCTGCGGGTTAATTTGCGGATTTATTGCTGCATAATCGGACAACAGCAAGAAGCTGTAAATAGTGAGACGCGCGACTAAAACTTACCCTGTAATATCCTAGCAATGGAGCTGAGAGTCCATCAAATTTATTAGCAAACAATTGCATTTTACATCAGAGCTGATCATAGCCACTTCGCACTCACTGTACAGGGTATTCGCTAGATCAAGCGCAAACATTGATTATGCTGGTGGCTGACGCCTGTTGCCAGTTGCCGTTCGCCCGGCCGGTCACTCGGTTTCCACTAGCCGCTGATCCAAATCAATTTAATTGAGGTCCAGCACGCCGGCCGCCTTTGGCCCAGCTTCATTTGTCCAATGTGTTGGCAGTCATCGGTCGCCCCTGCTGAGCGCCCACTGTATCAGTGTGAAATCTGTCAACCGACATGGGCTCTCTATCGCTAAGATCTGCCGAAAGCAAGTTGGGGTTACCAAGTGCAATTGAAAGGATGGCAAGCAGCGTGCACAGACAATTAGCAGGAAGTTACTTAAGAAAAGAAAGGAACAAAAAATTTGTGGAAATATTAAAAATAAATAATTATAATAATAAATTCGTTGTCAAGTGTTCTTTTTTTTAAATCATCTATAGATAAAATCGAGCAGCTTAGTAAAAATATATATTTATATATATTTTAAAAATATTTATTT